TTTTTTTTTTTTTCTTTTTTTTTTCTTTTTTCTGGAAATAAATGTAACTTCTCCCTTTTTTTCGTTTTATGAATCAAGAATTATATAAGTCAATTTAAAATTATCGTTAATTACTTAAATAAATCAGTGATAATTTTATTTTGTTAAAAATAAAAGATTTTTTATTTGAATCATATAACATGCGGATAAAATGAAATAAAAAATAAAAAATAGTTACTTTACATTATACAATAAAAATAAAAAAAATACTAAATTAATTCCAATCATCTCGTCCATACATTTTTTTTTTGTCCAACTCATCCATACATGCTTTTTTGGGCCAACATTCATACACGTTTAATGTAAGAACTTTGTGAAAGGTTCTTGATTAACAAGGGGTTCTTTTTTCCTATAAGAAAAAACACAAGGGGTCTTTTTAGGATTTATTTAATTAATGGTAATGACTATTTTTTGGTATTGAATAAAACAATTATCTTGCATTTTGGAGTTTAAATTTTGGGACAAGTACATGAGTTATAAGTGAATATGTCATATATTTTTATCAAGGAATTAAATTGGTTCCATTATGGTACAAATAGTAGACTGAATTGAATTGAAATTTTCTCTAACCGATTAGGTCAATTCAGATGATAAAACGTCTAAAAACCAAACCCAGCCATTGACCCTACTGGAAAACAATTTAAGGATAGGTGAAATGGTTTCCCAAAATCCCATAACTTTAACTTGTTTGAAGATTAAAAATTAGCTTTTCCACAAAATATAGTGAGTTTAAACCCTTTAGTAACACTGTTTTTTCTTTCTTTTTTAGCATTAAAGTAAAGAAAAATGTATTGTATAATTCTGATTATAACAAATTATATAATATTATTTAATTAAATGAAAATTAAACTCTTTATAAGAGATTAAAAAATTTAACTTTTATCTAAATATTCATATTTTATAATTTAATATAATCTGAAATAATTATTTTGGAAAGAACATCTAACATGCATGAGTTGGTACCTCCAAGGCTCCAACTAATGAATCTACCTAAATGAAGAAAGGGTAGGTGGAGCAAACTCACGCACACACTTTTACATATTTTAAAAGAAATTTTATTTTGGCTATTGAAAAATCGATTCGACCGGGTGTGAAGCGTTTAATAACGCGGCATGTTCCATGAGTCTTGACAGTGACTGTGCTGAAGAAAACAATGACTTTACTTTTAGTGTATCTGAATGGCATGCTCTGAGTCTAAATCATGACAAAAAAGATTTCAGTTTGGCCTCTCAAAATATCTTATATTGCTTTCATCCCCAAAAGGAAAACAACATTAAATAAAGTGCCCTCAGATCTCAGTCACTTTGCCACAAGAAAATTGTTGTTGGTCCGGTGGAGTTTTCTAACTTGCATTATGTCAACAAAACTTTGTTTGACTAGCGATGATGTTGCTATCACCTATCAGCTATGGCGTATGGGAGGGGTTAGAATTTGTACTCTTAATCCATAATTAAGCTTTTGGTGTTAATAAATGTATAATATTAACCCAATTAGAGTTGAATTTAATAATGATTAAAGTAGTCGCCTACCCCTCCCTCTTTCTTTACTTCTCTCTAGCAGACATCTTTCTCTCCCTCAGCAATTAGAAAGAATGAATAAATATGAAAGTTTTTCTCTTTTTTGCAAGAGTTCTTTTGTCTTTCTTTTTTGGAGATTTTTACTTGAGTTCTCTTGATATCTTTCATCAAGTTTTGCTTTGATTTAAAGAGAATAATAATGTAGTGGTGGGGTTAGATAAGCTTAAATTGGTTGTGGTACTTATTTTGATTATGGGTGGCATGGGTTAAGAGACTGATAGAGACTCAAACTCTTTTCTAGATTAATTTAAGCATGGCTTCGATGATCTATGGAGGAGTCTACACCTCCCTTTTGGACTAGTATATCTCTTTTTTAATATAACATCTAGTGGGTGGAGACTATTATTTGTGAAAATACTTACTCTCCCTAAAAAGTTAATATAACAATTGAGAATGTTTAATAACTCAAGATACTTATAATAACTTTCGTTTTATATTTATAATTTTATTTATACCCCCATGACAATTGCTATTATAATCTTTAAATATAGATGACCCTCTATATTTAATTGTCTTAACAAAAAAATGAAAATCAAGATGTCTTGATGATAGAATGTTTATCATAATCATCTGTTAAGTGAGCTCTTGATTGGGACTCATTTAATGAATGATTATGATAAGATATCCTAATATCAAGATGTCTTAATTTTTTTAATTTTATTGTTTATATTTGTCACGTGCATAATTTTTATTTGTATCTAATTATGTAGGGCATGCTTCTACTTTAATTATAGACCACAAAATAAGGATACATATCTAATCTTAATTTCATACCAAGTATTAACTTAAAAAAAATTGTATAAACTTTGCTAACTTCACTTTAATTAATAGGTATCAATGAGACAGTCCTTGGCTCAATGTTCAATCCTCAGGGTCCTAATTTGTTTTGAATGCAGCATGCCATGTGGGAGTGCACACTTATGTTTACTTGAGGAGGAATTAGTCTAAAAAAACAAAAAAAATTCAAAGAGATAGTTGTTGACGATCTAGTTGAGTTTATTATGGTTATTTAAGAACTAACGCAAATCCTTTTAATGGATAATAAAGTAGTTTTCTGATGTGTGTGCAAGAAGTATCTAAACGGCTAAACCTCGTACAAGAAAATAATAATAACAATGGCAGCCCCTTAATTTATTGACGATTTAATTTTGTTTACTGTTAATGACATTGGGGGCTTGATTGAGTGAAGCAATAAAATATGAAAAAGAATAATATAGTTTGGACTATACTAAAACCGTATTATATTAATTATTTAATAAAAGATAAATTCTCTGATATTTGATGTTTTTTTTTATTTAATAATTTTTATTTTATAATTTAATATAATCTAAATTTTAAAATAAAAAATATGTTTTATTTTTTTTATTCTTATTTTTTCAATATTTACAAATCATGTCAGATCACATAAAAAAAAATTCTATCAATATTTATTTTTTTATTGATAATAATCAAAATCAAAATTTATTTTTTAAAAAACTCTAAAATTTTTCATTTAAACTAACAAATGGTGAGCAGAACAGCTCACCTTGCGATAAGAGGTTAATTGAATCTAGCAAGTTCCAGGGCTTTGATTAGCTTCTTAAAAAATAAAAATCATCAAAATCCACAAGCCCATAATTCATGGTCCAAGCCCAGTCTTCGAGTAGGAGTCTGGTTACGAGGAAAGAAGATTAACGGTTTTTAAGGGTTTTCTAAAGGCGCTCGGCACTTGAAGGTCCGTCGGCGCGGGAGGGAGAGATGGCCGGAATGGGAGCGTTTTGGGGAACGAGAGTGATGGAGATAGTGAAGAAGCATGACTCCGGTGGCCTTGTTTGGAAGAGAATCAAGCTCACCTCCACTCGGAAAGCCAACGCCAAGAAGCGTCTCCATCGCGTTTGGCAGGTTTTTCACCTCACCTCCCTTTTCAATTCTCTTAGGGTACATACGTTTTACTTAGTTTGTTTCATAATCAGCCAGTTCTTTACTAGTTGACCAGTGATTCACCTGACGATTGGCTCATGGATTGTGCACGCCACCTGTTTGATTAATTGTCTCTTAGTAACTGCGTTTGCCCCTCAGATGTTAACATCTGGTGGTGTTTCTGGTTTCTCTTTTATTTATGTGATGAAACTATTAGAATTCAAGGGGTTGTGATTGCGTGAATAGTTTGTGAATTAGAGTAATAAAGGTACAAGCTTGATTTGTTCCTTGAAAAAAGTTATTTTGTTACATTTAGGCTATTAATGTGGCTCCATATTTTGTTTATGCTGTCTAGTGGCAGGCCAATAGAGGTTAACACATTGTAGAGAAATTGTTTTCTTGATGACTTAAAATGGAAGTAGTTTGTAGGGTATCATATTCTGTGGAAACTTATGCTGAAGAATTCTAATTCAAGATGAATGTGTGTAGGTAGCAAAATATTATCGTGTGCTGGCTTCTAATGTTTAGTAGTAAAGAGCAAGTTCTTTTGGTATTTTGAGAGAATTACCTAAGTATTATCTATTACCTGTCAACTGTTTCGCATAACCTCACAAATACGTTTTTCTTGTTGGTTTAAATTTAATATTTTGTGAGTTGTCCTTCATACTATTTTCCATTTTTTTATTTAATTTATTCACTTGGTAACCATTTCTGGTCCTTGGAGGCTCACATGAACATGCTCATTTGAACTTGAATATGATGACAACTGACAAGTTTGCAGAGTGTGGATGCTCATATGGGTTGAGGCTACTGCCACATTATTTTTTTTCCTTAACAATGATACGCATTCAGGTTTTATATTTTATATATTTTTTAAAAATATTGCAGTTTTCCATTTCTTGCAGAATGAGGCTGTTTTGAGGGCATGTGCTGAACCTCCTCCTTCAGAAGCATCTAAATTTGTAGCTGGTGAAGCCAGTGAGAAAAAGCTGGAATAGCCAAGTTAACTAACAAAATGAGTAAGAAACTAAATGAACCTTCAAAGGATTCGTTTTGTGAATCTTTGCTTCATGATGGAAAATCTCTTTTGTTACACTTCTATATCTGAATTTTTAGATGAATGGCATAGATGATCTCCCTTTTATCCTTATTTGAGACTAGACTATGGAAGCTTGTTATTCATTGGATTAAGGCAATTAATCCTGTAATATCTCATAAACTTTATTGTAACATTAGCTAGTCAATGAGAATAGTCTAAACTTGCTTTCCGATGGTGTCTATCAATAAACTGGACGCTTCACATGTTGTGTTTGTCTAACTCCCTACCTCTTTCTTGTTTGTTCTTGATCATGTTTATCATAATGATGTTGCTTGATGATGGTCAGTACTCTTTAAGTGAAAACTGCCAGAAATTTACATGCGAGGTCAGAGAACGTAGTTTAAGAGGGTGAAAATAGTTGAGTCTAAATTTTTTTTTTTTTTTTGACAAAGGTAATGGTTAGGAAGTTAGTATGAGTTAGTTGTTAGCAATTGGTCCTCAGACCGGGTGAACATTCCACCCCCTCAAATGAGGCGCGTGGCTATCAGGCCGTTTTTTGGTGGAGTTCACGACAGTGGTGTAGCTCGAAGCTCCAACCACCTCACCCAAGCACTTAAGGCTTGGGGTCGAACCATTGGGCCTAAAGGCCTGGTTCAGTTGAGTCTAAATTATTTCTATTATTTCTGGCTTGTTTTTCTGCTATGATGCCTTTGACAGTGGAATTCCATTCCAAATAATTATGATATTTGATTGAATTTAGGATATGGTTCCCACTTCAGAGATATGAATGCTAATTGGAAGCAGCATATCATTGTTTACCATATTCACCTTCCAAGAATTCAAGTTTAAAGGCTTAAAGGAATCTTATGATTTTTCACGAACAATCTTTCACTTTCAAAGCGTTATTATTTGGAAGATAATGCTGGCTCTTGTTCCAAGAACATGTGGTCCATGCTAAGATTGAAGAGAAAGGGAGGAGGGCTGGAAGTTGTATTGTATGTGGATACAAAAACCACCAAAGAAAGGGTTGAAAAACCCTCCTTGTCTCCATCTATAGGCCAGAAGATTGATTCTGACATTGAAGTTGAGATAAGTGATGAATTCTCCTTCCCATATGTCTCTATAACTTGAGAATTTTGCTTGATTCTTCCTTAATGGCATTTGCTTTTTAACACGCAACTGTTATGTGTTTCCCTGCCCTTGCATGTGTCTGTTTGAAGAGTTTGTACATGTAATTTCTGATGTATGGTTTTAGTTACATAGGAGGATAAAATAGCTTGACATGCTAATTAATTTGCAAATATTGAAATGTTTTTCTTCAAATGTATATGTTCATTTCATCAAAGCAGTATCTTTTTTTTTTTATCATCATCAAGGAGTATCTTCAGTTGTTGCACATTGTAGTTGGAATATACTGGAAACAATTAGGACCATCAGTTAGTTAGTTGGATTCCATTAACAAATCTATCAGTGATCTCAGCATTTTAAATGCATGGACCAACCCCTAGTAGGGCAACAGCCTTAAATATCATTAACTATTTCAGCTGTCCAGACAATTCATTGCTCAGGCACTGCAGTGCCGTGCTGCAGAGAAACTAGTTTATCTAAATTTCTAATGTTCTCATATTCAACTTTTGAAAAAGAGGGTGAAAGTTAAACCAGATACCGTAAGATTACGAGGCATTGAATCCTTAACACTGCAAAAATGTTAGATTTCAGATTGATGTGTGCATGTGCCGGTTGTTGTAGCCAAGGGGTTGAGGTTTTTCAATTACGCAAGGGCCCCATTGCATTAACATTTCCTCGGTGGATTTAGATTGATTTTTCTGATGAGATACAGTAATTTTTGAAACTGGTTATGATATTTTGACATGTCCTTGTTGCAGAGATACTAAGCAACCCCTTAAACTTAAATTTGTCCAAAACAAACCACACATGAAAGTGGTTGGTTTTGGAATGGGTCAACTTTCATAATTGATAATACATTCCCTGTCTGCAAGGTATTGTTTTTGAAATGTCTAAACTACCCTTCTTTGATGTAGACATTTTGTATATTTCTAGGATTGGTAAGGTTTTCTTTATGTGATTGACCTAACCACACCAGGTCAGGCTACGAAAGTTGTGCTCTGATTTATGAATGTGTGTGGTGTGGTCTACCATTTGGGGCTGCCCACGTGATTGACAAATTGGACACCCACCCTAGTCAGCAATCCACACAACACAACCATTTTTATTTCTTTAAAATGATATATATATTTAGAAAAAGTGACGTGTAGAACTCCAAAAGCCTTTAGGTGATTCTAAGCCACTTTCCCAAGAAACACTAGTCGGCAATCTTTTTTTTTTTTTTTCTTGTTTATCATTTTCTGCCTCTATTTTAAGTATTTCTTAATTTTGTTTCTCCTGTCCTTTTTTTTTTTTGGCATTGCAGTTGTTTAATTATGGATGATTAGAGTCGCAATCGATGCATTTACAATATACCGTCCGGTGCCTACCTGGCGTCCGCTTGGCAATCATGTAAGACTCCATGGCCCCACTCTTTAGCTTATGTTATCATCTATGTTTGTGTCTGGTGACAACCTACCTCACATTTCTATATTTTACAATTGCCTGGATGGATCTACAAGTAATTGATTATTAATTGAATTGATTATGCATGATACCTTGCTTTTAATGATATGCATTTTCGGCTTATGGATTATAGAATATTTTATACTTGTTGACTTAACTCTAATTTGGTCGTATCCATTGCATGCATGACAAGTGTACAACACATGGTGTGAAGTTAAACTAAATTATCAAAAATATAATTTACATTTTTTGAGTTAAGTGTATAGAAGTATAAGATGTTGCAGTTTATGAACTCGGATTGGCATAATCACAATTCTTCAATGTTATGGTTGTTTGGACTTAATACATATATATATATATATATTTATTTATTTGTCAATCTAGACTGAAAAAACATTTATGAACCTGTAAATGTTTGTATTGTGTACTAAAGTTTATTGAAGTCAACATTGGAGGGTAGTTGGGAATTAGTGGAAGAAAAGAAGAATCTCACTCTTAAAAAAACGCCTGCTATCTGTTGGCATAAATTTCAAGCAGAATGTTTTCTATTGGACGGAAAAGAAAGGGTCTAGATTTCTTTACATACAAGTAACTCAATTAAGTCGTCTGATGATCTAATTTCTTTTCCGGGACTTATGTTCAATTAAGGACACACAAATCTTGTAAGAAGTGCAAGAAATGATATGTTTGTGAACAAGAAAGTCAATAGGGATCAACTTTTAAGACGTTTGGACAATAAAGCTCATTTGTCAAATGTTGCCATCCCATCCCTCCTTTCTTCATTGTAGAATGATTAGAACCCAACTATTTCCAAGTCTCCTTGCTTCTACCAAATTGGTCTTGTAAAATTCAAATTTGAGCTAACCTTGTCTCCTACAACATTGTACCTACTTTTCTTGTTTCTTGTACTGATAATGGAGTATGATTGTCCCATACACAGGACAATTGTAACAAATATTGTAGAAAATATACCGGAAATTTCTGTCTTAGAACAATGTGCAGTGCTAGCGGCAAGCCGCCCTGATTAGCTGGGTGCACACTGTTTAAAAAAAATTAAAAAGAAAAAAAGGAAATTGGCACTTGGCCAATCGGAGGCCGACTGCAGTCCAGGGAACAATATTTAGCTCGTTTTTTCATGGTTCAAGTTTGAGTGTGGATGAAGATTAGAATTTTGGAAGTTGGAGCAAGGCGCAGAATTTGTTGAGATTTCATCCATTATTTGAAATAGAATCAAGGGAGAGGAGAATTAGGTTCTTTTTCAATTTTTTTTTTTTCACCTTTACCGTCTGGAAGAAGGGGAACCTCGTGCGATGCTCTATCTTGCAGAGATATTATGCTTATTCTTGTGCTTCTAAAAAGGATTATCCTTTTGGCAAAGTTCGTGTTACACACATGTGCTCCCTCTTTCCCACAGTCTCCTTTTCTATTCCCTTTGAAAATCATTTGCCTTTTCACAACCCCTGCATATGTTGTGCTTGAATTAATTACCAAGTTTTTATAACATTTCATAAACTTCGGATCTTTAATTTTAAGGTTAAGCACTAAATTATTTGGCAGATATTTGTTATGAATGAGCTATATGGTAAAAGATTTTTTTTTTTTTTTTGCAAATCTTTCTCTAAATGTCTCGAGATATTTGAACTTGAATTGAGGTACATGGTAAAAGAGATATATGTATATATATATATATATATATTTTCGCAATTCTTTCTTCCAATGTCTTGAGATATTTGAACTTAAAATTGAAAACATTCAACTTAAAATCTCAAGTTTTTGTTAGTTGAGATAGGCAATAGAGCAATAACTAAGTTGAGACAGACAATAAAGCAATAACTAACTTATCGGTAAAAGAAGGGATAAAGGGAGAGTAAAATTACTAAGATTTTTGAAATTTTGAGGTTCACTACATGACAACATCTGGTAAAAGATTGTTTGCTCTTCATATTAGTGGCAACAGTTAAATGCCGAACACTAATCTTTCATCCATCGTTTCTTCCTTTTCGATCTCTGTTTCTGCTACCTCTGGTAACCAGAGACTCAGAGACCCAAAAACTTAAACTTACCAGACAATCTATATTATGCTAAAGTGGTTATTCTGACTTAGCTAAATCAGAAACTGCCAAATTTACTGGTACACAACTACTACAGTAACCAAGTGTTGCTTATCTTGAAGTTTCAAGGTTTTCTTCGAAAATATGGAAAACTGTTGCAACTACTGCTTTCTTCGTGATCCTCTGTTTCGTTGATGGAAACCTCTGTGATTCCGCTGGAACCGGAGGAGAAAGAACTCGGAGCAAGATTCAAGTCTGTGTTGGTCTTGCTTTCGGAAAGAAAATCATAGAACATCGGCCTGTCTGTGCTGAGCTTTCGAACTCCGTTTTCATGGCAAGAAATTTGCATTGGGACGTTCTCTTCTTCATTCTTATTATTTCTCTTCTTCAAAAATATACGGCAGAGAACCCAATTCTCCATGAGACCCTGAAGAAATTGAAAAAATAAAAACATAAATGAAAAGACCCATTCACCCAATTCACCAATACAGTCTAATTGCAGTTAAAAAGACCATTGAATTAGAGAAGCTCTGCGTTTAGGCTCTTTCCAATGCAGTTGTTAGTTTTGTGCAGTCTGAACTATATTAAGCAGTTCTTAATATGTAACTGAAGCATGGGATTGGAAAACTGACCTGAGTTGGGTTCTTCTTTTGTGGTGCATTGCCGGTGGGAGTCTCGGTATTTGCCAGGCGGTACTCGTGCATGATCCAGTCAGTCCTAACGCCATGTGGGGGCTTTCCTCTGTAAAAAACCAGAGTTTTCTTCATGCCCACCACTTGGTTGCTCCTGGAGGTCACAATTTGCTTATCTATTCCTGTGGCCTTCCAGTAACCGGAGCCGGTGGCTCTGTTGGACCTGTTCCCGTTCGGGTACTTGGATTCTCTGGCGCTGAAAAAGTACCTCTCCTGCTCCAAATCACCTGATAAAACAAAAACACACAAAAATGAGAATCCTCCTCAATATGTAAAGAACCCGAATTTAGAAATCGGCTGAGAAAGAATTTAGAATTTTGCATAAAAATTACAAAGGAAAAAAAAATGATGAAAACCAACCTGGTAAGTCCCAGGGATCAGCTTTGCAAACATCGACTTCTGGAATGATGGAAGCAGGCAGGGGGCAAGAAAACACCTTCCTCTTCAAGTACTGAACTACAAGTTCTTCATCCGTGGGGTGGAATCTGAACCCCGGAGGCAATCTAAGCACACCATTCTTGACAAAATTGAGCTTCTCCATAACCCCAATTCAAAGATTTAAGAAGTGAAGCCTCCAAAAGAGGAGACAGTGTCTGTTTTCTGTATACCCAGTTAAGTTTTAAGCTGCAATTAAGGATTCCCAAATTGGTTTTCTTATAGCACAGCAAAGCAAATAGAGAATATCAACGGGAACAAGAACAAGGCAGAAAAGAGATGGTTTTTTGGATATAAAGAAGAGAAAAGGGGAAGATGAGTATTTTGAGAGGGAAAGTGTGTTCTTTATAGTAATGTGGTGTTTAGGGGTGAAGAGAGAGGTCTATAGAGAGAAGGGAATATAGAATAAGGACGAGAAGGAGAACCCCTTTGGCGTAAACAAGACTCAAACTCTTTTTATTTATTTAATTCTTTTCCCCCTTTTTAAAAAAAATAGAAAACTCGATTTTGGGTTTTGGTAACTATTTTCTAAAAACAAGTATAAATCTTGGGGTTCTTTGAAAAAGTTAAAAAGTTTTTAATATAAACGAAACCGAATGCGTATTTAACAAATGATGCCTTTGGGGATGACCGCAAGTCGTCGTAGTAGATTTTGGACGGTGGTAGGGGTGTTTTGGTCTTTTTAATGAATGCACTGAAACCTCTCAATGGTAGGGGTGAGGTGGTCTTTTCATGATCAATCATGGGCATTTTAAGTTTTTCTGCGCAATGAGTGGTGTTTTAAGCAATGATTATTCGAAGCAACAAAATGCTCAATGCTCACAAAGACACAAACTACTGACATGTCATTTCTAATGTTATCCAAAATCCCATCCAGAGGCTTTTCAAAGAATTGGAACCCCTCATTCACATGGGCATTTTTATCGAGAATATTTTATTTTGTAATTTAAATTATATTAAATTATAACATAAATTTTTAGATAAAAATTTTTAGTATTAATTAATTGTTAACGATTTAAATAATTTAATGATCTTTTTTTATTAAAAATAAAAGATACTGAATTCAAGTTGCAT